ATGGAAAGTGGTAACCGTCGCCTATAGACATGAGCAGTACCATGGACATAACAGAGTATACTGTTTCGCCCATGATACCCCCCGTGCGTTGCCATTCCTGAGGACTCAGATGTCATTCCTCTGTACCTAGTAAATTCACGCCATATCCCACCCTTCAAACCGAAACACAGCCATGCAAACACAACTGCTTCACGGTAGAAACACGAATGGGACAGAGGTACCCAAGCAATCGACTTTTGTACAAAGTCTCCCTCTGGTAAGTATGTACATATAAACGTAAATTGCAGTGTTTAATCACAAATTGCTATATAAACAGATTTGGTGTCTATTTTATTGCAATATGTAGAGTTTACGGTCTACCCTTCGTCAACATTGTTTACACGCACTTCAAAGCGAGGGCTATTTGTACAATTAAATTTTGAGGGTTGACAAATATTACCTTATTCATCAATCCGGCGACTACTAAACGATCCATCTCATTATCGGAACAATCCCAACTCAAACTTAATTTAAAGTTTCAAGTGTAATATGACCCCGACACGAGATCCCACTTTGAGAAACCACGACACGAAATCCATCATGTACAAAATATACCGTCGGTTTTATGATGTTGCCTATTTATATTTTTGTGTATTTTCAATTTTATTCGCCGCTATTTTACCTTCGATACATGGTATTCTACAGTCGTAAATATACGAGTGAAGGATACCATCTCTCTGTACAACGAATGTACGGATCTTATATTCTTGTTTCAACATTAAATCTTCATTGGCTCTGGTACATAAGAAAGGGATATATATTACTAGCTCTTGCCCGTGTATTCGCTCGCTCCCATGTAAACTGTCATCCTTAAAGGGGTGAATACTTCAAAAATGTATTATTCAATAAATATATTAAGTTTCGTTTTTAACTAAGAGCCTAAATTAAAAATTTCACTTGTCTAACTTCTAAACTGTTTTCTAGGGGTAGAATTTTCAAAATTCCTTGCGTATTGTTTACTTACGTTATATAAAAAAGTTCATATGTAAAATTTGAAAATTCTAGATCAAGGATTTCGGCTATGCGTTAATATATGTATGTTGCTAAGTCAATCAGCATACTCTTTTATATTTTACCAAAGGGAGACTTTATACAAAAGTCGATTGCTTGGGTACTGTCTGTGCTCTGTCCCATTCGTGTTTCAACCGTGAAGTAGTTGTGTTTGCATGACTGTGTTTCGGTTTTAAGGGTGGGATATGGCGTGAATTTACTGGGTACAGAGGAATAACACCTGAGTCCTGAGGAATGGCAACGCATGGGGGGTATTGATATACAATGATTTACAAGGTTTTTCTTTAATGAGTGATAATGGAATGGTAATCCCACCCGCGCTATCGGTATACACCGACAGGGCACCAGTGAAAGATGATAGATGAGGATGAAGTAGGTCAGTTAGCCCATCGTGACGAATTCAACAAGAATTGTTCACGATGGTTTCCAGGGGAACCACGTGGAGATCGACCTGATAGGGCATATTGCTAGCAATGGGGCTGTCAAACTCCATTGCTAACAATTCCTTTCCCCCCATAATTAATAACTTACATCACGTAATATAAGTTTTTATGTTGTGTAAAATAATAAATACTTGTTTCTCAATTATTAAATGTTTGAAGGAGTGTATATTACTCGCTTAAAGGATTTATAGCTGACTGTAAATTCTAGGCTTACGTACACTGGAATTTATTATAATTGTAATCACTTATGATAAATAAATAACTTAACAAAACAAATATAGGTTTACTATTCCATTTACATCCATTAATACAACCAAGCGATTCCCATAAAATTATCACTGACTCCATATTATTATCTGCATTTACTAAGAAAACCCCGATGAATGATGAGAATTAATTATGTTTACTCTGTGATTTATGGCTGTGTAATCTGTGTGCGTATATGTATATGTGTGTGTGTATCCATACAACATTGATATTGATTTATCTGCAGACCAAGTGAAATTAACTCGAGGTTCAAACTGTGTATTGTTTGCAACAATTCCCGTTTGAAGTATTCAACGAATCACTGAGTTTTTCCTGATAAATTATTCAATTAATTCAGTACAATTAATATTAAAAGGGGAAATAAAATAGGCATAGCCTCGATTGCTCCATTAAATCATGCCAATTCTATGCTTATATCTTACCTAAATATTTTATATTGTTGTTTGTTTGTCGAAAATGATTCGAGAGTTTAGAAGATACTCAATTTCTTAACAAAACGTTATCAAAATTGTTTTTGGTTACATGAAGAGATTAAGTCACAACTCTTAGTGATTTCATTACCATATTTATATACCATATGTATCGCCTCTAGCATGTTTACTACGCTATAAGGAGAAATAGAAATACATCATTGTTACACAGAGTTAGGACAAGCACCGACAGCATTCTAAAAGTAATAGGCGAGAAACATAACTTGCCAATAATTGGGCATTTCATTCAGATGTTGATCTAGTCGGTTGGGTCACATCTGAGTTTATGCTTGAATTAAATGTTTATTGCTTTTACTTTTTTACTAACATATTTTTTAAGAAAATTGTTACATTCAAACCGAAACACAGCTATGCAAACACAACTGCTTCACGGTAGAAACACGAATGGGACAGAGGTACCCAAGCAATCGACTTTTGTACAAAGTCTCCCTCTGGTTACATACATAGACATTACAAAAGCTAACTGTAAAAACAAATTGTAGTCACTAAAAAGGCTCGTACTCAGCATGCGTCGGGAGTCCTTACGATTCACCGACGCTGGTCTTCCGTAAGAGCCTATTTAAAGAGTGCTATGCGTAACAATGAAATTAAGCAAATATTCCTTTGTCTAGACTAGAATACAAATTGACACATTAAGTTTGGCTTCGTCGAATTAGAATTAATAACCTTTCAGGTCTATAAGACGGAGAAGAGCATTCTAATAGCTAGCGTTCTCTCTCTGTCTGGTATTTTCGTCACGATGGGATAAGTAACCTGATATCGTCGGGGGAAAGGGACTGTTAGCAATGGAGTTTAAAAGCCCCATTGATAGCAATATACCCTATCAGGTCGACCTCTACGTGGTTCCTCCTGGAAACCATTGTAAATAATTCTTGTTGAATTCATCACGATGGGCTTATTGACCTGCTTCATCCTCACATATCATCTTTCATTGGTGCTCCACCAGTGTATACCGTTAGCGCAGGTGGGGTAACCATTTCATTATCGCCTATTAAAAAAAATCTGATTACGTCCTCACCAATTGTAATTAACTGGTACTATCAGCGTATTCCGATAGCGCGAGAGGATTACTATAACATTTTCATCCTAAAAAAATATTTCATGTATGGTGGTGAATGCCAAGTGTAGCAAATACTACCAAAACCTTGGGCAAGCATATGTTCAGCAGTGGACAGTTATTGTCTGATATGGTATAATATGAATGGTAAGTAATGATGAGCCTTGACCGTTTTGTCTTTTGACTTCATTATTATTAATTATGAAGCTATTAGATTAGGTTTTTTTATACAACTTAGAACGGCAAACAAGCTGACGTCCTACCTGATGGAAAGTGGTAACCGTCGCCTATAGACATGAGCAGTACCATGGACATAACAGAGTATACTGTTTCGCCCATGATACCCCCATGCGTTGCCATTCCTGAGGACTCAGGTGTTATTGCTCCGTAAAAGGTAAGTTCCTCCGTAGGTATCATATCAACTTTTAATTGTCTGAACATAAGCCTCTTGAGTGGTTTTGCCAGTAGTTACCACGCTTGGCAGGCAGATTAGCAACTGCAGTTAGGCTTTAAAGATGCTTTAAGAGAGGCGCTATTGCTCATCTCTCGCGTTCCCTTAGTCGTCTCTTACGACAACCACGGGAAAGGAAGGGATGGCCTACTCTATGCCAAGACAACACGGCTATGTTTATATGAATTTGTTTTACAAATACACTCGTTTATATGAATAAGGGGGTTAAGATCTTTACTAAGATTATAAATGAGAAGCTGACCTATTTCATCATCACCTCTCGTATCTTCCCTCAACGGTTTCCCGCCATTGTGTGCCAATAGTGCAGGCGGGATCACTATTTCATTTTTACCCATTAAAATAAAAGTTTGGGGAGGGTCTAGGGAGAGGCTAATTTCAGTATATACTTGTCAGAATGAATTGCGTCGTAGCTGATGTGGCCGAATACCGATGATTAATCGAACGACTCGAGTTAAAAGTAGTCAATCGAATACAATCGCAGCAACATCTATCATTCGCCGGCACACAAATGGGCTGCGTTGACATGCTCTGTAGGAAATTGGGAAAGTTGGCTTTAGATTCGATTTAGGCTCTGCGGAGTCAGGTGACGTGGGTAATTCTGTTATAGTGACATGAATGTGCCCGAATAGGGTTTCTACTAAATAAATATCGTTGGAATTTTACGCTGTCAAGTTCCAAACTTAGCCAAGCTCTTATCATTGACAGAAATTTTTTATAAAGAATTTGATGAGATTCGAGAATTGATGGGCGTACTTAGTTGTTTTCTTAACACGTATACATTATGTTTATATTTAACCATAACTATAACCCCCATTGAGTGAGGGCATTACATAAGCAGTAAATTCCAGTACCTTTTTGAAACTCACGATCGTAACCTTCGATCCAGTAATATTCTCTAAATATCTTTCCACTCTCACTGTACTGGTTACGCTTCAAATTCTTTTCTCCTACATTCTTCACTATACTCGTCCATATGTCCTTAAAAATTATATCTTTATAAATTTGCTTTAAAAATATGTATAATTTTTATAAAACTCATGCTACTAGCAATAATTATGGACTAGAATGTATTTTTTAAATCAATGTTTTTTTTATACCACTGAGGTGGCACACAAGCATACGGCCCACCTGATGGTAAGCGGTTATCATAGTCTATGAACGTCGGATTGGTGTTTAAACGTAAATGTGTTTCTTTATATAATGTTTTTTTTTTTTTACAGGAACAAGGAGCAACGATCGTTTTCTATAAAAATTGCTCCAGCAAAGGTACGTTAAAAATATTTGAATATGTAAAAATATTTTATTATAAGTACTATAGTTATAATACGCTACGTTTACATTAGACAATTATTCATTGGGAATAATTTATATAGAAAAAATAAATAAATAAAAAAATTTCGTTAGCACACATTATATTTTATTATAATAACACCTGGTTTAATTTACGTTTAATTAAAACAAAAAGATCGACTAGTTTCGGAATCAATGCACAGTCGCTCATGACTAAGGATCACGAATTGATTTCAAAACTAGTCGAACTCTTTCGATCTAATTACACGTAAATTAAACCGGAAGATGTAATATCTTCCGATTAAAAAGTTTTAGTAAAATCGTAAATATAGAAAATATAATAATATGTCATTACTTTCTTTCCTGTCCATGACATTGTAACAGACAACTGGGGAAACAAAATAGTTCCAGAAAAGGAAAACTTTGGGCGGCGGTAGTCACCAGTTCACCAGAGGGAGACTTTGTACAAAAGTTGATTGCTTGGGTACCTCTGTCCCATTCGTGTTTCAACCGTGAAGCAGTTGTGTTTGCATGGCTGTGTTTCGGTTTGAAGGGTGAGACATGGCGTGAATTTACTGGGTACAGAGGAATAACACCTGAGTCCTCAGGAATGGCAACGCATAGGGGGTATCATGAGCGAAACAGTATACTCTGTTATGTCCATGGTACTGCTCATGTCTATAGGCGACGGTTACCACTTTCCATCAGGTGGGCCGTCAGTTTGTTTGCCATTCTAAGTTGTATAAAAAAAAAAGTCACTTACCATCAGATGAGCCGCGTGCTCGTCTGCCCCCTGTGTTGTAAGAAAAAACTTAACACTTCAGTTTTTAACAAATAACATATATTTCCTCTCCTCAACACACCGCACCGTTTATTTATAATAACATCCGAAACGGCATCAAATTTTATAGCTCTGCAGTTCAATTTGTTCAAAAATTCTGTGGTCCACATAAAACAGCCTAGTGAGGCGCACCGGCGCGGCGGTGCTCGTATTTATTCTGAAACGCCTACGAATCCCGGTATATCCCGCATAAGCGGTATAAATCCCGGCGCACGAAGCCACCGGGGTGTAGACTGTAGGTGGCATTTCATACCAACTGAATTCATAGAGAGGATGAAATGCCACTGACATAGAATTGGGACAGATCAAATTTAATAATAATATTCAATCGCGCCTGAAATAACAACAGATAAGCTGGTGAACATCAAATTTGCTATCTATATATAATAATTTCAAAATTTTAGTACGTACGTAGAATGTTCTCCGTTTAGATAATTTTTTTTTATACAACTTAGAATGGCAAACAAGCTGACGGCCCACCTTGATGGAAAGTGGTAACCGTCGCCTATAGACATGAGCACTACCATGGACATAATAGAGTATACTATTTCGCCCATGATACCACCCATGCGTTGCCATTCCTGAGGACTCAGGTGTTATTCCTCTGTACCCAGTAAATTCACGCTATATCTCACCCTTCAAACCGAAACACAGCCATGCAAACACAACTGCTTCATGGTTGAAACACGAATGGGACAGAGGTACCCAAGCAATCGACTTTTGTACAAAGTCTCCCTCTGGTATAATTCAGAGATGCAGCTTCCAATACTGGCGGTTTGAGATGTCAGTCAGAGGTTAAATTGGAAGGACATAAATTAAATTAGAGGACAAAAGGGGAAGTGGAAGACCGAGGAATAACTACATGGGACAAACAAAGGAAACACAAAGTATCATGTTGTACAGGGAAGTCAAACATATGGCCTTAGATAGAGCTGACTGGAAGAAAATGCATGAATTAGTAGCCTCGACAAGAGGAAACTTTTAAATGAAAAGAGAGCGAATGGAATGTTTTAAATTTAAAGCATTTAAAAATACTATATTATTAATCTATTTATGTCTATTATTTCTTTATGATCCAGTTACAAACGTCCATTTCAGAACAGAAACATTTTCTAAAGATTTCATTTTTAAATTATTCTTTCACAGATTGCTTAAATTAATATTATAATACATTTTTTAATCTTCAGATATTAGGTACTCTGAATTTTTAATCATTCCTCTCTATTATATGTACTACACTATACAGGGAAATATCAATTTATTAATTGGTTACATTCATATTTATTTATTTATTTGCATGCCACATGGTACAGTACATAAGACTACCCCGTAGAGATACTGCAATTTACAAAGGGAGAACCATCCCCTTTTACAACAGCTGAATGTTTTGTATAATGGTTTATTTATTCTTTTTGTTTGTAGATTTTAAATTTTAATACAACTACTTTGGGGGGAAAGGGATTGTTAGTAATGGAGTCTGAGAATCCCATTGCTAGCAATATACCCAACCAGGGCGACCTCTTCGCGGTTGCCCCTGGAAACTATCATGGTTAATTCCTGATAAATTCATCATGATGGGCTAACTGGCCTGTTTTCATTCTCATCTGTCATCCTTCACTGGTGCTCCGCCAGCGTATCCCGTTAGTGCAGGCGGGGTTACCATACCATTTTCAACCATCTAAATTTAAATTACCATTAAATACAACTACATATGAATATGTATTTTAAGCAGTTTTTTTTTTTTATTTTGTAGCTATTTTTCATCATCATATCAGCCTTAAACTGTCCGCTGCTGTATATAAGCCTCCCCCTTGGGGGGTTTTGCCAGTAGTTGCCACGCTTGGCAGGCGGACTGGCAACCGCAGTTAGACTTTAGGGATGTTTTAAGAGGGATGCTGCTGCCCTCCCTTAGTCGATTCTTACGACACCCTACGGGAAAGGAAGCTGGCTTATTCTATGCCGGGAATTTTTATGTATAATTATAGACTATTAGTTGCGTAGATGCATATCATCTAATATGTATTTTTAAAAGTACTTCATCAATCCGGATGAGTTTTATTCGGATGAAATACCACCAAAGTTACATTCTCATTTTGCACTCGAATGCAGTGCCCCGTCTGTACTGTACTGTAGAGATGTCACCTTAAAACACAGCGCATTTACCACACTGTCTTTAACTATTACGTCACAATTACTTGTCTCTACTTGTACTACCTTGTATACCAGAGGGAGACTTGTATACCAGAGGGAGACTTTGTACAAAAGTCGATTGCTTGAGTACCTCTGTCCCATTCGTGTTTCACCCGTAAAGTAGTTGTGTGTGCATGGCTGTGTTTCGGTTTAAAGGGTGGGATATGGCGTGAATTTACTGGGTATGGAGGAATAACATCTGAGTCCTCAGGAATGGCAACGCATGGAGGGTATCATGGACGAAACAGTATACTCTGTTATGTTCATGGTACTGCTCATGTCTATAGGCGATGGTTACCACTTTCGATCAGGTGGGCCATCAGCTTGTTTGCCATTCTAAGTTGTATAAAAAAAAATTATGGCAACTCGGTGTGTTTATTAAAATATAAAGTAGATCTTTACAACAAATGTTTACAAACCCGTAAATTCCCATTATTTATGGCTTTTGGTTAGCTCTAAAAGCTGCCCTTACTTCTAATGGGCATCTGTTTAAGGGACGGAAAGCTCCCCGGGATTAACTTCTCGATTTCCTTGGAATACCATTATTTGATCTTAAGTAGCGTTTTCTTATCTCTTAACTCTTCAACCAACTTCAAGTAAAGAGGCTCACAATTATAATGTATTTTTTGTGTGTAATTTATGCAATATCTTTGACAATTCAAAATCGATTTTCATGATTGTTTTTGTAATTCAAAATATTACTTTCATATTGCTCTTATTTTTACCAATTTAGTGGCGATTGTTGTAAATTTTTCAACTGTCTTCAAAAGACATCCGATTTAGAAAATTATTATCTGAAAGAGGTTCTCTTCTAAATAGGATAGCTAAAATCCTAGACTACTGCCATGAGAATCAAGAACATTCAGACTTATAAAGAAAACTCAACACATATTACCTGTAAACACGTTCGCCTCTCGCAGATGTTAGTTCCTGACTGATGGTGTTCCATCAACCCGCTATTTATTTGAGTTCTCGTCTCCCCCAACTGCTCTCGTCAGGTGCCCGCCTCTAAAGAGTTTGTCAAACTACGCGGAGATGTTACGGACATATTTCGCGATCTAATTTAACTAATACTAGAAATGTGGAAGTTTTTAAAGATGCTTAAATGTTTATCAATCAGCTTAGATTTAGTTTTTTTTTAAAGGAAAGTGGTAATAATAATGCATTGTTAGTACCATTTTCCATCAGGTGGGCCGTTAACTTGTTTGCCATTCTATATTGTGTAAAAAAAAAATTAAACACATTTTATGAGAAATATATTATTTATTAATATCATATTGAAATATAAACTAGTTGATAATATTTCGTTATAAAGTGATAGTTGTCTCGCGGGAACCATACGCTTAAATGTTAGAAGGGAAACACCCGCTTTCATGTGGCTGTGAGACAAATGTCGTAAACAAAATGGCCATTGTGGAGATTTATAAGGGAAAATTGTTAAAGTATTTGACCTGTTAAAGTATTGGATGTATCAATAAATATTTCTTTTTATACCTCTGAGGTGGCAAACAAGCATACGGTACCACCTGATGGTAAGCTGTTACCGTAGGAGGGAAACGGATTGTTAGTAATGGAGCCAAATAGCCCCATTACTAGAATACCCTATCTATATATAAAGGAAGACTGTGGAACTTCTAGTAGTAATAATAATGGTGAATCTACACAGTGTTGGCAGTCAAATATATACTAATGGTAGCGGAATTAAACAAAATAGTTCTATTTAAATAACCTGTGGCATGAGTCATGCCAACCAAAAACTGATTTTTTTCCCGGTTTGATGCCCTGTGTATAATAATAAACATTAAAAATTAAAGTAGTTTTTTTTAATGTTATCCTGGGGGCGGCCATACAGACTGGCACGCAGGCGGCCATATACCCAGGCACGGCCCTGGGCATGACATAAATAAATCATTGAAATTTGTCAATGATGTAATTTCATACTAGT